CGGACCTAATTTTTTCTGGCAACTTCCCCTTAAAAACCATGTTTTTTTAGCAAATGTCCTTCCATTACAAAAGCTATTTTTTTAAAAAAAAAATACTCTTCCCTTCCATAACAAATCATTTTCGCATAAGAGGCGGTTCGGCATTTGGAAGAGGCGGTCCGACGATTATTTTGCTGGAATAGACGGTCCGGCGTTTCATTGTGACGGTTCGAGGATTATGCCATTGGAAAAATGTGCATTCCGACATTTTGAAAAAGCACTCAATCATTTTGAAGGGGCAGTTCGGCATTTTAAAGTGGCGGTCTAGTATTTTGAAGGGGCAATTCGGTATTTTAAACTGGCGGTATGGCGTTTTGAAATGATCAAGTGTTGTACAATTTCAGTGCGATGTTTCCTTCTATTAGGATCTTAATACGATTTGTTATATGCGGAAATGGTATTTTTATAAAAGTAAAAAATAAATTTTTTGTATTGGGGTATTTGTTAGAAAATATGGCTTTTAGGGGGAAGTTGCTAAAAACATTAAGAGGGGTAAATTGATTAGAAAGTTATTTTTTAAGGGTTTTATGCAATTTACTCTTGTTTTTTTTTTACGAAAGGGTCGGTCGGATGACATGCATTCATGATATCACCTTCTTAATAATTCACAGGTAGATAAATTGATCCCTTTGTTTTTTTCTTTTGAGAGAAGGTCGGTGAGATGACATGCATTCATGACATCACTTTCTTAATGATTCACAGGAAGATAAGTAACATGGATGATTGACCATCGGATATGTATGTTTATCGCCGTCCAACCAACGGCTGGACGGAGATGGAAAAAGTGTACCACTTCTGTCTATTCTTTTGGTAGGATGGCGTTTCTACGAGTCAGCTTGCTCATATGTATACATGCGGCCTCCCTTTAGAATTCCCCACAAGATAAGGATGGACTCTTGATCCAATATTTTAAGGATTCACGGACGGGTGTGTTTCCGTAAGTTTTGCAACTTCAAACAATCCAATTAAGGCCCATGTCCAAATTTTATCAAATTTTGTTATTAAAAAATCTTAGGATTATTTTAAAAGTAATGATCATATGAGACCTTCCCACACACATCACCATTAAATTTGATAAAGATTTTTAAAAAAAGTCAAGTCTTACATCTATGTGACAATGTTTTTAGACATATGTGTTGAATTTAATAGTGATCTTTTGAAATCTTATACACATAAGTGAAAAAAGAAAATCTCATAAGATCATTATTTATTTTAAATTTTAAAATCTATTTTTATATCTAATTAGAAAATTTTAAACTTAAAAAATGCTTAAAATTGAGAATGGGGTTGAGGTCATGGTGACAGCATCACTTGAACCTCAGTTATCGATTTAGGTTTCCATTCCCACTAAGGCATTCGAAAACCGTTAATTATTTCTAAAATCGCTTCTCCAAAATTTTATTCCCAACCATCTAATGAGTTTTGCATAAAAAATCTGTGAACATGTTATACACATATTTCGACTTACCGGCAGAAAACTTATTTCTACCAGTTAGAGCATGATATACACATATTCCCAAAACATCTTCTAATTATTCCCACTGAACGGTTGAAACAAATTGGGAATATTTAGGCCGTGAGTTTTGCATAATTTTGAAGGAGCGTGGTTGGAGATAAGAATTTTTGGAGGAGCGTGTTTACATAAAAAAAAAAAATCTAATTATTCCCCCTGCCAGTAAAAAAATCATCTAATTATTCCCACAAAAATGAGAGCCACAAGTATTTTGGAGGAGCGTGCTTACCATGCTGAGGCATGAGCATGTTGTACACATATTCCCTCGAGTAGAAGACTAAGAAGATTACTTATGCAAAATTTTGGGAATTACCTGAGGGCCCGTTTGCATTGGAGAAAATTAGGAAGATTAAGAAAATTATTTATGTAAAATTTTGGTAATTACTTAAAAATCTTAAGAGAAAGAAATTATCTCAAAATTTTTATAAAGAAAAACTATCTCAAATTTTAAGTTTTAGATAGAGAAAGTATCTTAAATTTTTGGAGAGAGAAAATATATCAAATTTTAGAGAGAGAAACTATCTCAAAAATTTTAGAGGGAGAAACTATTTCAAAAATTTTAGAGAGAGAAACTATCTAAAAATTTCAAATTTTAGAGACGGAAAGTATCGTAAATATTTTGAGAGAAAAACTGTATCAATTTTTTTATAAAGAAACTATCAAAAAAATTTTTAGAGAAAGATTATCTTAAAATTTTAGAGAAAGAAATTACTTGAATTTTTGGAGATAAATCTCAAAAATTTTAGAGAGACAATTTATCTCAAATTTTAAATGTTAGAGAGAGACTATCATAAAATTTTAGAGAGAGAAATTACCTAATTTTTTTTTTAGGGAAACTATATAAAAAATTAGATAGAGAACCAACCTGAAATTTTTTAGAGAGAGAACTATCTCAAAATTGTTAGAGATAAACTATATCAAATTTCAAGTTTTAAAGAAATAAAGTATCTTATAATTTTAGAGAGTGAAACTATATCAAATTTTAGAGACAGAAATTACCTAAAAAATTTTAGAGAGAGAAACTATCTAATTTTTTTAGAGAAACTATCTCAAATTTTAAGTTTTAGAGAGAGAAAGTATCTTACAACTTTAATGAGAGAAACCATATCAAATTTTTGAGAGAGAAACTACCTAAATATTTTCAAAGACAAAAACTATCTCAAATTTTGGAGAGAGAAATTGTCAATATACAAAATTTCAAATTTTTAGAGAGAGAAACAATCTCAAATTTTTTGGAAAGAGAAATTATATTAAATTTTAATTTTTTAGAGAGAGAGCTCGCACAAAATTTCAAGT